GGGGGGGGAGAAGAAAAACAGTACTATTTTCAGCCACTAGATGGCAGCAGAGTAGTAGCAGTAAGGCATGCCGTTGTATCATGTAATGGGTAAACGTGGCTATAATGACAAATTCAAAAGTGTTCAAGACAAAATCCAACTGGACTTTATTTATTATACGTTTTACTTTATTGTTTTTTTCTTGAACTTTTTGAATTTACCATGTCCTGCATGACTGAGAATCTTCATTAGCTATTAATGACACAATCGGCTTGCCATATCCTCCCACCTTCATTCTGCTCGCTGCTTGGAGCAAGTTAAACCAGCTGCACCGCTCTGGCGAGATGCAGCTAATTTGACCATTAAAGTGCATTTATTAACCAAACGTTAGACTGAGACACACCGTTGCTATAATTTTGAGCAAACAGCTAACTAATTGTTTTAGGTGCTTTTCTTGTGAAATTTTTGAAGAAACGAGAAGCGTTGCTCCTTTATTTTTTCCTCCCTCTGTGCTCTCCCAGAGTGCCGAGGCAGCAAAACTATTTTTGAAATTCAGCTGATTTGACCATTAAAGTGCATTTTTAAGGAATAGTTCAACTGAGACACACATTTACTATATTTTCGAGAAAACAAACAATTGTTTTAAGTGTTACTCTTGTTAAATTCTTGTTAAGTCCTCCCGTGCACGCTCCCCCGGCTGCCATTTGGCAGCCCATCAATTTTTGGCACAACACCGGCTCACATTTCCAGGTCTTCAATGGTGATGCATAATAGATGCAACGTATATGGCGGAAAATACAGTACTGTAATTTCCAGACTATAAGCTGCTACTTTTTTCACACGCTTTGGACACCGTGGTTTATACAATGTTGCGGCTATTTATGGATTAAAAAAAAAAAAAAAAAACTTTGATGGGCTAACGAGCTTCCTGCTGCCAAAATATTTAGCCTCGTCACACCTGGGTGCTCACATAGCTGCCCAATACATACTCTCCTGGTGGGTGGGTCCTTGTGACTCAATGAGACTGCCTGTATAAATAAAGGTTAAAGAAAATTCTGACCAATGAAATTGCCCGGTCCACTGTAGTCCCGTTCTCCCCAGTGAACAATGGGAGAGGAGAAACAGTATTTGCAGCCACTCAAAATAAGAGTGAATCCTCCATTAATGTGACACTCTGAACTCTGTGGGAAGCTTGGATGACTAGCGGCGAGAAATCATTTTTCTAAACTGGTTACATGCGAAGAGTAACTTTTGCTCAAGTCTGCCAGTGGATCCTGACCGCAGAGCAGTGTAAAAAAATCAATGGGTTTCAAAAGGCTGCTGTGTGATGGAGCACAGCACAACCTCAGTGCGCAGGAGGAAGATGAAGTTAGCGATCAATGACTTCCTGATATGCTACTGTATTTATTTATGTTTCAACCAGCCGTGTTACCGGCACTGTTCGGATTTTTTTTTTTTAACTGTACATATTTGTGTATGTTACTGGTATGTGTTTAATTAAAAGTAAAAAAAAAAAAATCTTTCTGTTTAAATATCTAATTTTACAAAGTGGACACATTGTGGCTTATATACAAGTGCGGACAATATGCACAAAATCTTTTTTTGTTTTAATTTAGTGGGTGCGGCTTATATTCAGGTGCGCTCAATAGTCCAGAAATTATGGCAGAAAGTATTGTTCACTCAAATGATGTGGTGGTCAGTTTACATATGGTGGTGGCCATCTTGAATTTTGACATGGCAACCAATTTTTTAACAGTGACCATTTATACAGCTAGATGCAGCCCCACACTAAAATGGAAGTTGACACCTTGATTAATTTTGAAGTCATCCAGATAACAATATTAACATATACATGTATACATAAATGGTGGCAGCTATTTTGGATTTTGATGTGGCAACCCAATTTACAGACAGCCGTAGGGTTTATCCAATTTCCCCACTTCACTCCATGACGCAGGACAACAAAAAGGCTATGACATGACAAAACACAAACTCCTCACTTACATCTCAAGAAATCACTTCTCACTTTTGGCTCCTGGGAATCAACTCTGGAAGGAACTGTTTGAAAAAAAAACAAAAAACAAACAAAAAAAAAACAAGGATAGTTTAATTTGGTAAAATCGGATTTTTAGTTCTTAAAGTGTCAAACCTGACTGAGTGGACAAACCCTTACCTTTGAGACGTTTGTCTCCAGTCCTCGGTAAAAGTGTGTAGACTGGAGTTTCATTAACTGTAAAGATGCTCTGCATTAGTTTGATCTCTCACAATGTTCAAATGTTTGTTTGTTTTTTGTTTTTTTACAATATCATACCTGTTTTGGAGATTTTGCTCAATTCTTTTTTGCAGATATCATCCAGGTTTTCTTTCATCTCTATGGCTGTTTTGCTTATTTCACCAAAGGAGAATTGAGGGTTGATGAGAACTTTTGGGACCATGGCCTCCGGAGGGACACACAGAGTTGGAAAATTCTGTTTCAACAAGAAGTGCCAGAATGGTGTCAACATTTCTAAAACACAAATTGAAACATTTGTTTTGATTTGATACCTGACTAAACTATGCGTATTTATGGATATGCACAGTAATGTGAAATTTAGGTGAAAAACGAAGTAAAATGTAATTTTACTGTCAAATAAGCTGAATAAATGACATGTTTAGAGGTCACAGAAGTCATTGGTGTTTGATTTTTCATTGGAATGGTATCGAATGAGATTGAAACGTTAGTTGCGGTCCTGTACAATCTTCAGGCACCTGCAGGAAGTGAATGTTGTCTTCTGTTTCGAGGATCTGTCGTAGTTCTGCGTCTCTGCGCTGTAGATCCATTATCTCCTGCTCCAGGCGCTCAACGTAACCTTCAGCCTGTGACATAGCTGCCTGCATGTTGGACATTATCATCTGGTTGATTTCTGCCTTCCAGCGCTCGACTGCCTGCAGCATTTCATGGAAGGTCTTGTCGCTTTCTGTCTGTGCACGGTGGGCGGCATTCTGAAAGGTAAAGACTATTTATCAGCAGCTGTTAGTTTTTAACTTGTCATAAAATAATAATTAAAAAACGTTTATGTTTGATTGTTTCATGTCTGACCTACTTTTAGAACTTCTACATTGTGCTTGAGCTCCTGCAGCTCCTTCATCCTCTCTGAAATGATGTGCTGCACCTCAGACTGGGTCACCACCAGAACTTTCTGATAGAAAAAAAATCAAATAAAAATGTAAGATGCTGTTAAATCTCAGCACTTTTCAGCTTCATGAACTTGAATTAGCATCTTAATGTTCCCTCTCGTCTACCCAAACCAGTTAGGACCTACTTGTTTCTCGATGCGCTCTTCCTCTGCTGAAGTGATGTTGTGGCTGCGGTGCTCTCTGACCGTGCACAGCACACAGATGCACATCTGGTCAGAGCGACAGAACAGCTCCAGGCCTTTCTCATGTTGGGGGCAGATCTTCCGGTCCAGGTGGCCCATCTCATCCACCAGCTTGTGCCTCTTGAAAGTACTTGACTCATAATGAGGCTTGATGTGCGTTTCACAATAGTAAGCGAGGCACACAAGGCATGACTTCACGGCCTTATTGCGCCGACCAACGCAGAAATCGCAGTAGGACTCCTGGTGCATGTAGGGAAAAGGAGTGAGCTCTGGAAGCTGCTGGCGAGGCTGCTGGACGTCTGGTAGGTTACGTCTCAGGACGGGTCGTGGTGTGAAGGTTGTTCGGCACTGAGGGCAGCTGTACACACCCATGTGGTCAAACTGGTCCCAGTAGATCTTGATACACTCCAGGCAGTACGTGTCACCGCAGGGAATGGTGACTGGGTCCCTCAGTCCATCTGCGCAGAGTGGACAGAAAGAATCAGGGGGTAATGGGAAATGTGAGTCAGCCATGGCGATGTAGGTCCAAAAATAAATTTAAACAAGTGTTCTCAGTCCGAATAAAACAAGTTCCTCCACTGATGTCTTCAACAAAACTGTTTTTCACTTAACAAGACTCTTTTCTGCTGACGTTAAAAGCTCCGGCTCTGTTTCTACTATAAACAGACATGTGATGTCTTCCCACACAACCGGTTTCCCATGTTCTAAACAAAGAGATGGAAGAAAAGATTTGCTAATAAGTTTTAATATTTTGTGAACTCATCAAATGAGGTTGTGTTGTCTGCAAAACAAAACTTTGACATAAAACAAGTTCATGCCTTATAAAATCTAACAATCCAGATTTAAATACTTTAACTGGTTTTTATATTTAAGTTTTAGGACTAATTTAGGTCAACTATGACACAATGTATAAAAATGTATTCATCATAAACACAAAATAGTTTCATATTCTTTACCAAGAAACAATGACCATTATTAAAAACTAAAATTGTTTCCACATTTAGCAAAAGTACGATGGATGGAATTATGGATGGATGGAATTATGGATGGATGGATGGATGGATTGACATGTGGACTTATGGATGGATGGATGGACTGATGGATGGGTGGATGGATGGA